GGTCATTGCTAATTTCCTCCTCTTCCTTCTCCCTTCCCCACATCTAGCCAGTCATTAAGTACTACCTAAGTGTGTTTGTCACCTAAATGTCTTTCATCTGTTCCCTGCTTTTCCTTGTTAAAATTGTATGGAAAGTAATGCTAAACTCTGTTAGTTAACTATGCCTATGAGAACCTCAACTACTTGTATTACCAGGCTACAACCATGATGTTCACTTATTGGCATAATTATATACAAGTACAATAAAATCTCAGTTATCTGGAACCTTTAAGGAGTGTTGTTCTGTGTAGCCCAATTTCCCAGATAACTGATGGTATTCCTGTAAGCATTAGATCTTGTGTTTTATTGTTTGGGATAAAAACCTTTATTACAATCATACATTTATCTGCCTTTTAAAATAGAATATGTGAAACATAAACATTCAAGATAATCATTATGAGTATTTTACATCATCATATTAGATTGTCAGCTCCTTGAGAGCAGGGACTGTCTTTTGCCCTTTTCTGTATTCCTAACAATTAGTACAGTGCCTGGGACATAGTAGGCACTTAGTAAATGTTTATTGACTGACTAACGTTGTTTATTGACCTTCTGACTGTGTTATAGTACTCAGTTACCTTTATAGCCTATTTAGGTAGGTAGGAGAACTATTTTATTCATCCGTTATTCAGCCACTGAAGTGATTTTCCTAAAGTACTCAGCCCCTTACTCAATAAACTCTAGTGACTACCTGTTGCCTCCAGTATCGAATCCAAAATCCTCCTTTTGGCATTCAAAACCTTTCATAGCCTAATCATATTCCCTTCCCTCCCCTGTCTGCCATTTCCAATCTTCTTGCACCTTACTCTCTGCACATGTTCAGTCCAGTGACACTGGCCCCTTGGCTGTTGTACAAACAAGACATTCCCAGCTCTCAGCTCTGGGCATTTTCTCTGGCCTTTCACTATACCTACAGTGCTCTCCCTCTTCATCTGTGCCTCCTGGCTTCCTTTAAGTCCCAATTAAAATCCCATCTTCTATAGGAAGCTTTTCCCAGTCTCTCAATTCTAGTTCCTTGTTTCTTTTAATTATTTCCTATTTATCCTATGTATAGTTTACTTCTGCATATTTCTTTGTGGGTTTGTTTACCTCAGTAGAATGTGAGCTCCTTGAGGGCAGGGACTATCTTTTGCTTTTTTTGTATCCCTGGCACTTAACACAGAGCCTTGCACATAGTAGATGCTTAATAAATGTTTAATGATTTCACTTATTGACTGTCCTGTACTCATCATACTTGCACTGCTGTGCTGTTTTATTTTTATTTTTGTCTGCTTTAGAGTTTTTCACGTCTCAGCTGCTATCAGTTTCCTTTTGTTATCATACCTGCCTATGTCAGCCTCATTTCCCACTTGTAATTTGTTTTCTTTTTTCTTAATCTCTTGTACATTTAGAAACCCAACTGCCAAGTTTATTAGAATTATACATAAAGTATGAGTAAAATACTTGCTGATATCTAAATATTCTATGAATAAGACACTTGGACTGTGTGGTACATGTGAGCTCAAAGTCATGGTGCTTGTTACTTTCCTTTTACTTGCAGATTTTGTCAGTGTTAGCATACTTTAGGTTGTCAGGTTCCATTTAGGTAAGAGGGTACTAGTTACTATACTTAAGAAATTAGCATCAATTTAGTTATGGCCTTTAAGACTCACATCCTATAATGTGTTGCAGACATCAGGATACTCTAAAACTCAGTTAGTTACTCTTAATTAGTTTGTTGGTGATTATCAGGGTATGTTTATTATCTAAGTCCTTGAATGTGGTCGACCACATGGCAGGTGCATATTTCAACAAGATCAGCTATTTTCAACCTTTTTGGTCTCAGGATCTCTTGACACTTTTTAAAAATTACTGAGGACCCCAAAGACCTTTTATCTTTTGATATTCAGTATATTAGAAATTAAAAGTGATAGACTTTAAAATTATTCATTCATTTAAAATAGTAAATCCATTATGTTAACATTTTTATGAAAAATAACTATTTTCTAAAACAAAACAAATTTAACGAGATTGGTTTGTTTTACATGTTTTTGCAAATCTCTTTAAATGTGTGCCTTAATAGAAGACAACTAGATTCTTATCTACTTCTGAATCCAGTTTGTTGCATTATTATTTTAGTTGAAGTAAGTAAAGAAATTCAGCCTCACACAAATAAGTAGTTGGATAAGGGAGGAGTATTTTAATATTCAAATAATGTATTAGTATTATTATGAAAATAGTTTTGACCTCAAAGACCTCACTTTGAGAACTACAGAACTAGACTTTTTTTTTTGCTCATATAAAAAACTTAAAGTTTTTGTATTGGGGAGCCATTAAAATTTATCCTTTTTACAACATGAACAGCTAATTGAATGACTCAGTCAAATTGGCCAGTCAGGGTTCTACCTTCCAAAAATTTCCCATTGTAATAGTTGTTCTCCATATTACAATTTTATCACTCTCCTGTGACATGGAAAGGCATAAAATTAAAAAAAAAACATTCTAAGCTGCAGGCCCTAAAATTCATCCTCATTTCCTAAAAGTATTACTTGACCTCATTACACTTTATCCCTTGATTCCAGAATTTGACATCTAACCCAACACCCCCATTTTACAGATAAGGAAACTTTAGACTATGAACTCTTTGAGAGCAGCGATGGCTTTCTTTGTATGTCTGTGCTTAGCACAGTGCCTAACACATAGTATACACTTAATAAATACTTATTTACTGACAGAGGTTCAGAGAAGTCAATGATTTATCCCTGTTCACAGTGATTGTGGCAAAGCTAGAAATAGAACCTTGGTCTCCTATTCCTAATATGAAACTATTTCTTTAACGATACTCTGATTCAGTGCTGGAGGGGTTGAAGAAAATTTGGGACATTAATGCATTGTTGGTAGAGTTGTGAACTAGTCCAGCCATTCTGGAGAGCAATTTGGATCTATGCCCAAAGGACGATAAAACTGCATACACTTTGATCCAGAAATATCACTATATAAATCACTATGTCTGTATCCCAAAGAGATCAAAGAAAAGGGAAGAGAACCTATTTGTACGAAAATATTTATAACAGCTCTTTTTGTAGTGGCAGAGGATTAGAAATCAAGGGGATACCCATCATTTGAGAAATGGCTGAACAAGTTGTGGTGTATGATTGTGATGGAATATACTGTTGTTCTATAAGAAATGACAATCAGGATGCTTTCAGAAAACTTGGGAAGACTAATGTAAAGTGAAATGAGCAGAACCAGGAGAACATTGTACAAAGTAATAGCAATATTGTGAGGATGATCAATTGTGAAAGACTTAGCTGCTGTGATTAAGACAGCAATTCTAGACCTGTGATGAAAAATGATATCCACTTTCAGAGAGAGAAGTGATAAATTCTGAATGCAGATTGAAGCATACTTTAAATTTTTTCTTTATTTTTATTAATTTCATTTTGTTTGTCTTTTCTTTTACAATATGGCTAAAATGGAAATATGTTCTGTATGACTTCATATGTATAATCAATATCAAATTGTTTGCCTTCTCAAGGGGGTGTGGCAGGAAAGAGAGAGAGAATTTGGGACTAAAATTTTTTAAATGATTGTTAAAATGTTGACATGTAATTGGGAAATATTTAACAATATAATTTTAAAAAATATACTGATTCTCCCTTGGTGTGTGCTGATGTGTATTAACTACTTATGAGAAGTTAAGTGTCTTAGCACTTTTTTTTTTTACAGTTAATTCCATTTTATTAGTTAGTATACTTACCTATTATAATATAAAGAGCTTCTGAAAGTTAAAGGTCTTTTTATGAGGATTATATTGGAAGGAGATAGAGGGGGGAATGATCTTTACAATTACATAGAAAAACATGAGTTTTGTGTTGTGACCTCATGTATTGTTGCTGAATTGTGTTATTCTGTAACATTTGGTTGGAGAGTTCACATTATACCAATTCTTAAACATATTGGTTGTAGAAGCATTCCCACTGTAGAGTAAATGAAGGAGAATTAGAAAGAATACATCTGGATTTTAAATACATTATTTTATCATTTTAAAAGAATGATGTTATTGCTGGAATATTTAAATGTAATTATTATAGAGGATATAGTGACAAAGAATGGAGTAAGGGAAATATACTTTGGTAAAAGACAAAGAAGATTGTGGTAGCAGTTAATGAAATAAATAAAATAACTTTTTTAGCCACAAAAATTACTATAAAGGATAATTATATTTTATTTAAATATTTTTAAATTACCTGTTATCATAGTTCATCTGGCTAATTATAGACCCACTGCCAATACAGATTAATTTGCATACCTAGAATGTAATATCTATTTATTCCAAGAGGGAACTTTTTACCAAATATTTGTCAGAACTACCTTGATGGCACAAAACAAAATGTATTATAACCTTATGATGATAAGTTTTAGATAGGAGTAAGGTATATTCTATATCAAAATTGACTGCCATATTATCAGTGTTTTATAACTCTGAGATTGACCGATTATTGAATAGATGTTTGAGGAGTTTTTTGTTTCATTTTATTGTTAAGATTTTTACTGTTAACTATCTCTTTATAATTTTATTTACAATTTCTCTTTTAAAATGCAGTTACAGTATTTCTCAGATTATACTTACTTACTATTTTCCATAGAAAGCACATTTTATTCCTCTAATTTTAAAACAATATTCAGACAGGGAGTTTAGTAAGAGATTATGCCTTAATAATATAAGACTTTTAACATGTCTTAAGTCTTTTTAATGTAACTATTTTATTGTAATAATATTTTATTAGTTATGTTTTTATAATAAATTCACATTGAAAAGGTAGCATTTCAAAACTCTTTTATGCCTGCATTTAATTGGTTTAAGTCTCTGAATTTTTTTAAAGGTAACAAAAACATAATATGAATAGTGGATAAAAAAACCTTGAAAACTTTTTCACATATGAGTACTTTGTAATTTTACTTTTCAAAATTTCTTGTAGGATACAACATCTATTGAAAAGATGTCAAATTGTTGTGAAGAAATGTGAGTATAAAAGTTTCCATTTTTAAAAATTTAAAGGACTAGCAGTTTGAAAGTGTGCATGTGGAGATAGATATGACAGCTTTTTCTTGCTGCCCTGCCTGAGGTCTGAGCTGGAGAAGCATATCTCTCACCTTCCAGTTGTGATATTTTTTAATGCAGAGTAAATACTGATGATTTTTGTTCTTTATCTAACCAAAGTAAGCTAAATTGTTTTGTCCCCAAAGTACATCAAAAGACAGTTGCTACTGTGTTGTTGACATGCATTCTGTTAATCGTGAGATTCTCCTCTGCTTCAAAAGTTGCCCTCGGTTGATTGACGACCCAGATACAATATCTGGTATCCAGAGTTAAGTCTCAGCTGCATGCCATAATGAAAGAAAAGCTGTATTTGTGATGCTGGGACACAATTCATCAGAGTCCAGTAATGGATCCCCAGCCAACCTGCATTGTTTTAGCTGACTGAAGTGCACCATGGGAGTGCTGTCTTTCACTAATAATGCTGTCTTCTGTAGATCGAGGCCCCGAAAGCCATGGCAGCAGACCTTCTCAGAAGTTTTTGGCACTCGTTGGAAGATCCTGTGGTTCATTCCTTTCAGGCAGAGGCAACCACTGAGAGTTCCCTACCACTTTGCCAATCACGTCTAAACAGATGGATGGTGGGCACAGATGGGTCCTCCATGCTGGAAATGCGTTACAGGTTTTATGATAATAGAACTATGACAGTCTTCAAGTCAATTAAAATCCACCCACCAATCTTAGGCATCATAATGTGCCCCAGGCTTTATTTTAATAGTGATCTTGATCCTGTTGTGGGACTGATACAAGATCTATATTTAAGTTTTAAAGCGTGTTTACTTTCAAATTAGCTTTCCATGGGGATTTCTTTAAACTCATTTGTTGTTAAACTCAAAAGGTAATGACTGAGATGAACTAATTGTACACAGTTTTTTTTTTTTTAGTATAAGCTATTAGTAACTTTATTTTGTGCAAAATCACAGATGTTTACTTAAATTCTTCATTTTCAAACGGTATGACCAGATCTGAACTTCTTCAGGGTTATTTTCTTTTTAAACAGACCTTCTATGCAGATTTTCTTTTCTGATGTAATTGTAAATCTTTAAAGCCTCCTTTTTCTTTATACTGCATGATATTAACCATACAGCAGAGCCCTGAAAACAGGCAGTGTATTTTATAAGAAGCAAATTTCTTGCTAATGGTCTGCTCCATATTTTTCCTACTTCTTTCCCCAAAAAAAGTCTTTTAAAGGAAAGACTTAAAATTCTCATCTCTTAAGCATAACGTTTCAAGAAAAGAAAAAAAATAACCTGCACATTTTTACCACTGAGATTATCACTCTTATGTTGATAAAAGATGTTTAGGGCAAAGACCCAAAGGAAATATGTGACTAATTTCCTGTTTTCCACTGAGATTTGTTTTGTTTATTTGTTTCTAATAATTTACAATAATTTCATTTCTGCCTTTTATCACATTAGGATTCATACATTTGAAAAGTTCATTTAATTTTAATATATAATATATAGTATATAGAGGAATATATGTGTGCAAAAATAGACTAACTTTTATCTTGTAATAGAACTAGAATTGCTTTTTGAGTGTTTATATTTAAGAATACTGATCAGTGGAATATTTTAAGGTATTCTTTTATATACTTACTGTTGTGGCAGATAAGTAATGAATTTCTGACTGTCACTAAACAAAATTGAAATTTAGTTTTTATTGGCTAATTGAATTAGGGCTTAAATATTATTTTGTTGTTATTGGGGTCCCTTTTTATTGGCAATGGCTACTGTTATGAGATGGCCTTAAATCGTTAGGGAAATTTAATTGTTTTCAACTTATATTAGCCTTTTTGATTTTACCAAACTAAAATATGATCATAATAATGGTATATTTGGAAGACAGAGAATACATGGGTAAATAGGCAGCATGTTTTGAGGAGTTCGTCTATTTTATTACACCAGTCAGAACTTTTAAAAAATAACATTTTGCTTAAGGAGTAAATTGGAGGTTTTTGGCATTTTTCATCTGTCTACCTTCTAATATGTTAATTTTTTGTTTTGTCTTATCTTAATGTTCAGGTAATCACATCTGGGAAATAATGAAACAGAAATTTGGCATACCTGGAAATTTTATTGTAGACATTGTTTTGAGATATTGTATATAACCTTTAAAAATATTCTGTAGTAATAGAGTAAGAGCCCAAGAAATATTGGCACCATGTTTTCATGGTCTGAATATAGTGTTTTAAAAAAACTTAAATATTTAATAGCAGCAAGTGAAGGTATTTATTGGTGCTGACAGGGTACATAGTTTAATATAAAAAAAAACCTTGTTGCTCCTGGCAGAGTGCTAGGATATCACTTACAAGACCTATTTAAATACAAAATTCATGTGCAACCAGGCACATAATCAGGATTGTCTACATCTTATATGCTAAACAAATTTTACCTGATTGATAATTGGGTACTTTGAGATGTGAAGCCAGTTCTAGCCAATACATAAATGTCAGTAAAACAGATCTTTGTAAGCCAGGACCATAAGGAAGAAATAGGTCCTCTTGGAGAGCTCACAAATATAGGAAGTAGGTTATGTTTCTGCCTTGAACACTGAAGGGAGACACCCAGGAGGATGCCTAGGAGAGAGCTACCATTCCTACTTTTAAATTAAAGTGAAAAAGCCAAAGCATCACTGCCTTTTCAAAGGACAAGGGCTTGGGCAGGTTGGTTTTGGGACTCGGGGTAGAGGAGGTAAGCATTGCATACATTATGTTCTAGAATAGAATTCAAAGAGCAAAATGGGAGACCTCTCACTCTTTCCTCCTTCTTTCCTGTTCTTCCATCTGTATAGTTACACTACCCTGGCCTTACACTATCTCTGTCAGACCCATGGAACACAAATCCAGGGACCAGGCAAGGGATTATATTATTTATTTCAGTGGTAGATACATTACATATCAATATATATGTATATTATACATATATACACATAAAGAATACATGCAAATACTATAGTTTTCAACATTCCCAAATTATCCAATTAGCACACATTTATCCTGTGATTCTTGATATGCATCTATTAGAGAAAATAACTTGAACAGTCTCCAAGGTAGAGCACGAACTCTGATGTTCTCTATGCGCCCTCTTTTGGCTAACTGTTGAAATTAAATTTATTGACGAGAGATTTGTTCTTTTGCTTTGGTTGTGACAACTAAGGAACCAAATTTTTTCAGTAATGGAAAACTAAATTTTAACAAAAGTACATAAGGAAAACATCAAGTCTTTAAAAAATGAATGTGTGTATGTATATGTCAGTTTCCAGTTCATAAGTTATTGTATATCACTTAAATATATTTTATATTATTATTTAGTAATTTTTCATTATAAATTTTCAGTTAATATTACATGGGCACAATCATGATTTTTCTTTTTGAGCTATATACAGTATTGAGAATTTCTTAATTCTCAAGAATTAGAAGTTTTATTTTACTGAAAAATCACTAATACATGGATAATCTATTCATTAATTTTATTTGATAAATCTATTTGAGGGGGTTAAAGATGAATACTGACATGCAGTTAAATCGATAAGCATAGGCATTCAATACTTTAAAAACATTTAAAGGATGATTTTTTTATATTTCTTTTTAAAGTCTATATATCTAATAAGAGTTTATTTTGTTTTTCATTTTTGTCTTTTCATTGATCATCTCAATCAATTTAATAACTTTATATTTAATATTCAATTAATTTATTGTGAGCTTTATATAAATATTGAAACAATAAATATGTTGAGAACTGGAAAAGAATTACTGAAAGTGGAAAAGAAATGATGCCATTAGTATTATGGCTGATAGACTCTGCATGTTGCATAAAAGTAATTCTTTAGAAATACCTCATTTTTTTTATTAAATAGAATGTGTCAAAGGAGGTACTAGCCCCAGAAAAGTCATTGGGGTTGTGGAAAATAAAGTCTTTACCTTTTTACAGTGTTCTAAAAATTGGAAGCGACTCCTCCTGAGGAACAAAACTTATCTTTGTTTTTACTTGCAAACAGATTTACTTATGTAAGATATAGTGCTTAGCTTAGCATTTACGTATTTATGTGGAACTTCACTGAAGTACTCATAGTATGTTATGTCCCAAATTTAGTTTAAAAATACTGATGAATCAGCATTCTGTTGCGAGAAATCTATAATTTTGCTTAAGAATTATGCAGAAAAAAATTATTTTGGTAGACATAAAGAATTTAAAATTTCAGTTAAATCTTTAATCTTTATTTTTTCTGCCGAAATAATCATTTGCTTTAAAAAGTAACAGGTATTGAGTATGAACAGAATTTCAATATTTTTAACTTAGTAAGTTCTTTTCTGGCAGAATTAAATTTAATGCCTTTAAAATGCCATGTCAATGATGACTTTAGTGATGGCATGTTAATTACAAATTGGTTAAACTTTTCCAAGTCACTTTTACACAGATTACTAGTTTTCAAAAGCTGTGTATTTGTCAACTCCATTATTTCTGAATGTGGATCATGAGCTTTTGTCTGACTACTGTCCTAGGCAGAAAGAATAAACTACTTTAAATAATGGTGGTATAAACAAATTTTAGGTATTCTATTGCTTTTGCATGTATAGGTGTTAAGATTTTACTCTGTATCAATGATTAGAAATATTTGTTGTTACAGAGGATAATATGGCCCTTATTAATACTTCATTATATTAATTAGCAAAATTACTGATCTCTCTGGGGTTTTTTTTCTTCTTTTTCTTTGCTTTCTCTGTGTTTCCTATGTGACCAAGTTACCAGACTCACTTTATTAAGCCATAGCTTGTGGAGGTTTTAAACATGTGTTTGAAAATGGATATATAGTTAGAATTTACTTAGAATTTTAGTGCTTAGGAATATCACATAAAACACTTATAGACATAATCATCATTTGTTTACAATTAGATTTTTACCTGACTTTCTGTGAGCTTTCTGTTTTTTGTGTATAAGATATTGGCACTTCGAAAAGTAATACCTTACGTGTTAGCGAGTGTGTACATATGTTATATTTTTTACTTTTTGGTATCCTTTAACCATTTAGCTACATGATAACGTGCATACTTTTTAAAGGCTTATGTTTGTCCTGTTGAAATCCAGAGTCCATCTTCAATTTGCTAAATTGTATTTTCTCTTCTAATTAGCCATCTTCAGAACACCACCAAGGTGTTATACAGAAATATTTGAGAAAGGAGCAGGATTAACTTTCTAGAATCATTGTGATCATTAATTGATTGCACTATATACCTCACTCAATATTGGCATCTCTGTTTCCAGTGAAGTGGGTGGCTATTTAGCATAGTTCTGCCTGGAAAGGGCCTGTTTCCTCAGATATCTGGCTTTTATCATCCTCTAGAACACAAATGCATTATGACATTTAAGGCGCAAATTTATTATTTTTATCTAGTCTTCAGATGTTGTAATATAGTGAGCAAACAGTTATCTGTGCTAATTTGGATTGGGAATAGCACTGATAAAAGTGTACAGAATTATTTCAGTTTTTTTAGCAGTCAGTTTTAACTGCCTGTTCCATCAGGTCTTTTACCATTGCTGTGAACAAGTGACAAAATTTCATGACTTCTTTCTGTACCTTTCCACCACACAGAGAGGAAGAACTAATGAGTAATGAATATACTCCCCCAGAAGAGGGATAGCAGGGTTGGAAGAATCAACAATAAGAAAGATGAAAAGTTTGTTGTTAATAATCAGCTTCTCAGTAACAGGCTTGTCTGTACTGTTTTCTATTTCACCAGAGAATTTAGTAATTTTTCTCACTATGGAATTCCTTTCAGTTATCCTTCTGCAGCATACTAAAATTAGGAATTACCAAGCCAAATATATATATATATATATACACACACACATATATATATATACACACATATACATATATATTTACCATTGTGTGGCACTTCAGTAATGTATTCAAGAAAAGGCCTTCCACTAGTGCTTTTTCATCACTGAGCTGGATCGACTTGCTGCTGTCAGAGTTTTTATTGCATATGAATTCTTTCATTTTGGTTAAGATATTTAATATGAGGAATTTTTCTTGTTGTTTCTCTCCAGCTGGATCAGGTATCTTTTAGAAATTGTTTTATACTAGACTGTATATATTGTAGTGCTGTGTTTCTTTACATGAATTGTGAGGAATAAAAATAATGTGAATTTTCAAGCTATTTTAACAGAGAAGAATTTAATAGCTTCCACAAAGTTAGATTGGGAACAGTGAGACTGTTTCCCAAATGCCAGGGGTCCAGCTTATATCCTTGTTTAGATACTTTTTCTGATCATTCTAATGAACTCGACAAAAAGCCCTTGTCTCTTGTTCTGGCAGAGGTAGAGTCACCGGGTTAGAAACATAGTGATTATTGCTTATATTTTTTTTCTCCTGATACTCAATACCTCAAAATCCCTTTTCCCCTTGGAATGTTGTAGTTACATTGTAAGAAGTCAGGGCTGTGGTTTTAAGAATTACTGAACATTCTGGGAGAGGCTTGATTTATTGGTAATTTTATACAAATTAACATATGGAAAAATAACATGTTTTTGTGTCTTGGTTTACTCTGAATAAATGCAGGGTTTTGTTTGTAGTCTTGTAAAGTGAAATCAAAGCATACTTATGAATCCCAAGCATTATATATTAGCCAGTATGCTTTGTATATTATTTTAACCTGATGGTACTCAAAGTCATTGTTTCCCAACCTCAACCACTTAAGAGAGATCCTGGTGCTACTCACTTAGTATTGTGCATCTGATATTTCTAGCTCCTGCACCAAAGAGTTGAAATGTTTTGTTGTTGTAGACTGAAAGATTTTTTCCCCCTGTGTGAAGTGACTAAAATATGTATTTAATTTTATAAAAATTGAATTTAATGTCAGATCAGTTTCTATCAACAGATCCTAATTTATACTCATTGTGGCATTGGCATAATAAATTTTAAATAACTCTTCTTTGTATTTTTTCCCCAATTACGCCTGATAGTGATATGTTTTTGAATTTAATTTGATTATTCTAATGTAAATTTACTACCTTACAAAGGAATTTAACAAACTGCTTTTAAAATAGTAGAAGCTTTTCATAAGAGTTATACTTCGCTTTTGTGTATATGAAGAACTTCATTTTTATTAAAAGAATCATACCGTAGTAGACCTCTATTAAATTATACTGGAACAGTGTTGTGTCATCCAAAGTTTTTGCTATCCATAGTTGAAGGTCACTTTGAAGTTGTACCATTTGCCTTGCTATTAAGGACAAAAATTAACTTATACTCTTTAAAAAAAAAAAAAAGGCTCATGTTTCCCTTAGAGGTACCCAGGA